GATAGGTCGCCGCCTCCCAGTCGCATTTCTGATTGCAGGGGAGCTATAAATAGTAGAATAGAACCTCAGCTTGGGAACAGCAAGCCCATCCTACCACAGACTCCACTCTCGCCCATCTTCCTCTCTTTCTCTCTGTTATGCTCCTGATCATCTTTTTTTCTGTTGCCTCAGAGTTTTCACCCTTCCGGTGACCAGCCCAGGCTTCCACTTTTCTTTTTCTTTGTTTTGGCGGAACCAGGGATTGAACTGCGGCCCTTGCGCTTGCCAGGCAAGCACTTATTCTACTGAGCTATCTCCCCGGCCCATCCACTTTTCTTAAAACTGTTCCTTTCTGCTCAATTTTACTTGTCTTCCTCTGTGTGACTCTTCTCTTTGGGCCACAAAACATACTCAGTTTTCCCTTATCCTTGTCATCTTTTTAGTTTCCTTATATAAAGCTTTTGCCCTTTCTCTGCTCCTCTTTTCCCAGCCAAGGCCCTATGAATACATTTTTGGTTCCTGCTCCATTTTCAGTTCCTTTTTGCTTCCCCTTTTGGGACACTGCCTTTGGCCTTCAGCCTTCTCCTGTCTTCTTGTAGGTGACCTGGGTGACAAAGACCTGCTTTAGCTCTTGTCAGCCTGAATTTCTTTGCAGCATTCGGTGCTCCTCCTTTCTCTGCTTCCTTGCTTTTCTTTCTCACTTAAATCGTATGCTTCCCAGGTATCTATCCTCGGGTTTCTCTGCCTCTAGGCCAGTGAGTCTCAGATGGGGCTAGGCATAACCTAAGGGGTAGAGGGACTGTCAGTGGTAGGGCACTTGCCTAGCACATGCGAGGCCCTGGGTTGGAGCCCTGGCACCAGAAGAAAAATGAAAATGAATAATCTGAGGAATTTATTTTTTCAAGTTTCAAATGCACTTTTATTATCTAAAATAGCTTTAGGTTTACAGAATTGTGAAATTAGTACACAGAATTCTATATACGTAATAGTTTCACTTAATTAATAACATTTCATATTATTATTAGCTATAGGGGAATGTAGCTCAGCGACAAGCGCCTGCCTGGCAAGTATGAGGTCCTGAGTTTAATTCCTGGTGCCCACAAAAAATTAAAATTTTTTCTTGTTTTTTGAGACAGGGTCCTCTTCTTCTTCTTCTTCTTCTTCTTCTTCTTCTTCTTCTTCTTCTTCTTCTTCTTCTTCCTTCTTCTTCTTCCTTCTTCTCTTTTTTTTTTT